ATTAGTCGGTGACATCACTATTGCCCAGGGGATGCATGAGAAGGCTCCTTTCATGTCCCTGGTATTTTCCCACCGAAGTGGTACCTATTTATCTACTTGCATTTGCATGCTTCCGAACTATCTGAAATAGTATAAGGTCTTGGACTAGAAGACTTCAAGGTCCCTTCCAGTTCTATTTTGATTGATTGATTGACTGACTGATTGATTGCTAGATGAGCAGGAGCGGGGATAAATTGGTGGGAGATCATTCCATCATGTGGCTCATGCTCTTGGGTTTTGAACTGCCCAGCTGTAGACCTCTTAATGGTCTTTTGACTCAGCGCTGTCTTAGCCACTGTGCCCTCTTGATTTCTATGGATAACATTCTTTTCCCATGCAAATTTTGTTTGATCAGATGTGAACTGATTACATTAACGTAGAGAACCCCCTGAAAAATTCACAAAAATAAAAAAATACCAATTTCAAGAACGTAACATGGAAATAAGTATCTGTTTTTGAAGTAATTGTAATAGTAATTAGACCAGTATGGAGTGGGGTATGAAAACTCAAGGATCTGTCACAGAGGAAAGGGTATTAATTTATTATTCTAAGCATCAGGTGCAGGGCAAGAAGTAATGGGTGGAAGCTTGTTAAAGAGAGATTGACTCTAGAAATAAGGATAATTTTTCTGACAGAGAAAACAATTAATCAATGGAATATTTTGCCTCCCAGAGTGGTGGGTGCTCCATCCTTGGAAGTTTTCAAGAGTATGCTGTATAACCATTTGAGTGGGATTGTATAAAATCTTCTGACTTGAGCACAGGGTTGGACCAACAGAAATTAGCCCTAGAATTTACTACTTCTGGCTATTACACAGCCCTATATACCCCAATAAGTTAAGATTACTAAACTAAATGGCTTCACTAGAAATCTAAACAACATAGTGGTTAGGTAGATTTCAAAATGCAATATGATTTATTTTCTAATGGCTGTGAAATAGACAAATAGGTCAATCAAGCTAAAATCATAAAGTATTTAAATGCCTCATACTGATTTATGTAACATCTACTTAGAACATTCTTATAAAACCTTATTTTTTAAAATGAAAGTTCACCATACATAGAATTTCAGGTTCGTCTGAGGTTTTATACCACCAGTTCAATATGACAAAGTCAGTATGGAATTAGATACTTTTCATTTATTTAACAGGCCACACACGTTATCCTTCTGGTGGCCTTATGTCAATCTCCAAGGGAAATTGTATATAGAAGGTACAACTAAGGCAGAGACTACTATACAGGAGTAACTTCAAGGAAGAAGCAAGACTCATACCAGCACTCAACTTCTCATTTATATTACAACTTTTTTTCTTTAGGATACTACAAGTAAACATGCCTATCCCTCTTGGAAAAGAAATCATGCCAGATGCCTGGAGCAACAGACTAATATATAAATATAATATATGGCTATATCTTCTGCTCAAGATATAAATGCAGTATCTTCTACTGCTATAGATCTACTACTGTATTACAAATGAAAAGGATCAGGATACCTGGGCAATTATCTATTTACCTCTTGCCAAGTCAAAACTGAAAACACTCTTGAATGCCTTTAAGCAGTCTTTCCAAACCAAACATCTTCCAGAATTCCCAGTATGAGAATGGTCAGAAGTCCCAGTCAAAGACCTTTCTTGCTGGGGAATGCTGAGCACTGCAGTCCTCACACATCTGGAAAGGAGCCAGGTTGGGGAAAGATATCTTTGGCCATGCAAGAAGACACTTCCTAACAAGTCTTACAAATGTCAACAGCAGGCCAATTATAAATACTGCAGCCTCCATGAAAACAATAATTACCGTAAATCATCACGCTAAATCAGGTCTTAAGGAAATTATTTGTGGCAACCTATGTAGAGTTTTCATCACTCCAAATAGGCAACAGAGAAGCCATTTTATTAGCTGTCTACCTTGCCAAAACGGCTATACATATATAGTAAAATAAAATTCCCTTCTCACCCTTAGGGGTGGGTGTTCTGTATATATAAAAACAGATAAACGAAGATCATTAGACTAGCATTCTAACAGGCCAAATCCAAGACACCAAGGAGTTGGAAATACAGCAAGAAATGAAATAAACAACAGAATCAATGACTGTTCCATCAGCACATAATGCATCATTTATTTTAGCTCATGCAGAGCACATGGGCTATCATGCATTTGCTTCCTTCAGAGATCTCATCTGGCCTTAGAATGAAAACTAGCTGGGTGACTTTGGGCCGGTCATCTTCTTCAGTCGAACTCATTTCATAGGATTGCTGCCATAGGGAAAACAGAAGAAGGAAGGAGTACTAGGGATATTTGCCCCCTGTTCCTATGAACAACCCTGGCTAAGGTGATCCTTTTGACAAAAGTATTTTAGAAATATAATTTAAATATAGGGGACACATTAATATGGTTGTTCTAGGGAGAATTCTTCGTTCTCCCTTCCAATATTTCATCACCATATATTACGTGTGACACACACAAGCACATGACAGCAGTTTCCCCGCCATTCTCACACTCAGCTCCAGTCATGAATGAAACAGACATAAACCATTCTTAACTGTGAAGGTTATCATTAAATCTCTTTCTTCCTCTTATTCCAACACTGCCTAAAGGCAGCCTTGAGGTGAATAAAATGTTTTGTCCCCTATTATCTTGGAGGAAAGTCAGTAACTAGAAGTAACTTGGGAGACAGCAATAAGAATAGGATAGGAATTGACAGAGACAGTTCCATGTAGACACCCTACCAAGGAGAGGTGGAGAACCATAACTCAGGAGAAAGGAGCGTTTTCCTAAACGCATCCTCTGGTTTGCCTTTCTATCCTCCATATGCAGCATTGGGCATCAAAAGAGTTAAGACGGTAGCCACAACCATCTAATCAAATTCCACCCCCTTTTTTTACAAGCATCATCTTGACTTTTTTGGATGGTCACCATGTTGACTTTTGAGTTGCTGTGGGCACCCAAGCCCCAATTTTCTTGTCTTGACTTTTCTGTTGCAACTTTACCCTAGCCATTATCCTTACTGACAATCCAAATATAATGTTCATAAGTGGCTTTTGCATGTCCAAGGCATTTAATACACCAAAGTAGCTGGTCATCTTGATAAAACAAGATTGACTGATGAAATTCAATCAAGGGAGGACCTTCTCATGTACAACTTGGGGTAGGTCTATAGCAGGGGTCAGCAACCTTAAACACTCAAAGAGCTATTTGGACCAATTTCCTACAGAAAAGAAAATACCAGGAGCCACAAAGATCTTAATCGGAAGCCCCCTTCCCCCCATTTAATTCTGGAGCTGACCCAGAAGTCCGGTTCCCCTACCATAGAGTCTCCTCCTAGCATGGTGTCCTTTTTCCTCTACCTGTCTTAACCGAAAGACCTATCAATTGTGGAGCCGACTGGAAAACCTGCCCCTTGCCATAGAGTCTCCTCCTGGCATGCTGCATTCACCCCCACCCCCGCCAACCAGCTCTTCTCAAAATTGTGGCTCCGACTGGCGACAGGGAGCCACAGCAGAGGGATGAAAGAGCCGTATGCGGCTCTGGAGCCACAGGTTGCTGACCTCTGTGTTGGGTGTACCCATTTTTCCTCACTCACTGATTTACAGGGCATCCAGACAATATATCATCCACCTGTGACCCCTTCTGTCTTCTGCCACCTTTTCTTCCATCTTTCTGACATACATGGGGGAAAGAGCGTTAAGGAAGGAACTGGCCCCATCAACACACAATGGCTTTTCTTCTATAGGGCCAGGATTTGCCTGTCTGAAGGCAATCCTTTGGACTTGACCCTTCTTCCCTCCCATTCTGTTCAATTCCTTGGATATACAATTGGCACTCAACTTGCAAGCATTCGTTTAAGGACCGTTCAAAGTTACAACGGCACCAAAAAAAAAAAAAAAGTGACTTACGGTCATTTATCACACACTTATGACCACTGCAAGCATCCTCATGGTCACGTGATCAAAATTCAGATGCTTGGTAATTGTCTCATCTTTATGATGGTTTTGTGTCCCAGGGTTACGTGACAATCTTTTTGTGACCTTCTGACATGCAAAATCAATGGGGAAGCCAGATTCCTTTAACAACCATGTTACTAACTTAACAACCGCAGCGACTCACTTAACAACTGCGGCAAGAAAGGTCGTAAAATGGAAGAAAACTCACTTAAAACTGTCTCGCTTAGCAACAGGAAGTTTGAGCTCAATTGTGATCGTAAGTCGAGGACTACCTGTATTGTTTGTTATACAGCAGGGGGGGTCCCCAACCCCGGGCAGTGGACTAGTACCGGTTCATGGCCTGTTGGGAACCAGGCTTTGGAAGTAGCGGGCGAGCGCGCCAAGCTTCATTTGCTCATGCGCGGGATCTGGACCGCACATGCGAAAACATCCCTTCTCCCCCTGCCACTGCCGGTCCATAGAACCAGAAAAGTTGCAGACTGCTGTTCTACCCCTTGTTCAGTGGGTGGGATTCAAATTTTTTTTACTACGGGTTCTGTGGGCGTGCTTGGTGGGCGTGGCATGGCTTGGCGGGCGTGGCTTGGCGGGCATGACAGGGAGGAGACTGTAAAATCTCCATTCCCACCCCACTCCAGGGGGAAGGTAACCGCCGGTTCTCCGAACGACTCAAAATTCCCGCTACCTGTTCTCCAGAACTGGTCAGAACCTGCTGAGTACCACCACCTCTGCCCTTGTTCCTGGGAAGCCAATTGGACCTTGTTTTATCTGCAGTGCTCTTGCTGCAGTGCCACAACCTCACAACTCCGGAATGGGATACGGTTAGGTGCTCTTTTAGGGGCCTCCTTCTGCTTAGGATCCACCCCTTTAAACAACTATCTGGCAGGCAGAATTCCAACAGGTGAAGCTGGTCCCGGTCCTTAGAGCCCATCAACCTGTTGGATTCCTCCCCCCCTTCCCCGCCCCGGCCACCCTGTCCTTGAAAGCAGCCGAGCCAGTCTCCGTCCCCCAGCCTGCCCCTTACCGGCGAAGTTCTTGGTGAAGACCAGCGTGACCAGGACAATCGGGATGAGGACGGTGCCGATGGTGACCACGCGGTCGAAGGGCAGCTCGAGCTTCAGCTGCAGGAGGAGCGCGGCCAGCGAGCCCGCCTTCTCGTCTTGCTGCCCGGGCAGGATCAACTCCTTCAGCTTCTCCCCAGCCAGCAGCGCCGTTGCCATGTCCGGATGGTTTTCGATGATGTGTTGCATAAGCGGCGGCGGCGGCGGGCACTCACCGGGGCTCCCAAGTAAGCCGGAGCAACGGCGCCGTCGCCTCTCGCCGGAGAAGATCCGGAGCCCGGGGTGGTGGTGGGCTCAGCCTGCGGGGGGAGGAGACTAATGAATGCGGCCGGGGCAGAGCCGAGGAAGGCGGCAGGGAGGACGCGGGGCCGAGGAGGAGGAGGAGGAAGAGGAGGCACCATGTTCTTTTTGCGAGGCAGCGCGGTCTCTGTCGAGACTGCGGCACCGAGGCCGGGAAGGCTCCCCTTCGGTAAAGCCGGGCCTGAGGCGACGGCGAGGCTGGAGCCAAACGGCCACTTGCCAAGCCGGCCTAACGACCCAGGAAAGGTCTGCCGCAAGCAAGGCGAGCAGATGAACTGACCGGGGTGGGTGGATGGAGGAGGAAGGCCACCCTCTTCCCCTCACCGACTGAGAGGGAAGAGGTTTCAAACGGGGATCCCAAGCAAAGCCCAAGCGGGCGTTTTGCTGAGGTAAAAAGGGCGCGAACGGTAAGAAAGAAAAGAAAGAAAAAAATATGGGGGTGGGGGAGAGAAGGCTTACTGAGGAACTGGAGTCGCCCTTAGTTACCTTGTGAAGTTTGAGGGGGCCAGGGAGACTCTCCCGGTCCTCGGAGGGAGCGAAAAGCCGGCGGGCGAAAGCCCCAGTAGGCATGAAATTGACGGATGCTGCGGCAGCGGGAAGAGAAAGGACCGCCGGCCTAGAATTTCTCCTCTTGGTCCAAAAGGGAGCCTGTCCCGCCACCCAGCCTGGAGTCGCCTTCCCCTCTCCTCAGGTGAAAACAAACGAACCCACAAAACAAACAACAACAACAACTCTGTGAGGGCGGCCGATTTCTTTTTGAGCTCAAAGTTATGGCGGCGCAGACGCGGAATTTCCCCTCGGAGGCACCACGCGGAGCCCAGCCAGGCAAGCAAGCAAGCAAGCGAGGGAGGCTGCTGCTCCTGCGGCACTCGTGGCGGGAAGGATGCCCGTAAGGCGCGTTTAGCCCCGGCAGACGGTGGCGGCGAGAGGTCCTTTAAGGTCTTCGCCTCCACATCTGGAATTCGCCTCGCCTGGCAGCCCGCGGGAGGCGGGGCTGGCGGCTTTGCGACCGGGCCGGGCGGCGGAACCGGGGGAGGGGAGGGGGCGGCAATGGTCGCCTTGCCACCGCAGCAGAAGCTTGCCGAGTCACTCGACGCACCCCCCCCCCCGCTGCTGGGTTCATTGCGGCGGGACGGCAAGGAAAGGTCGGGCCCGGTCGTCCGTCCGGGGCTGCGGCTAAACGGTGGCGGCGGCCAAGCGCTTTCCTCAAAAGGATTGATTGCCATTCCCACGACCTGCCTCCCGCACCCCCCTGATTTTGGAAGCTGGAGGGGGGAAAAAGGCGTGGATGAAGGGGGGGGGGGGAAGGAAGGAAAATGCAGCGACCGGCGGCTGTGAAACCTCGTTAGAGCAAATGCAGCTGGCGACTTGTTATTTTTTCCCCTCAGGTTGCCCTTTTCCCCCCCCCCCCCCCGAGTTCCTCTCATTACTGGCGCCCCACTTCAGTTCTGCAGCTTCACCCAGAAATTAATTCCAGCCTTCGATGGCATTCAGGCGCATGCGCCAAATGAGCGGTTCGAACCTCTAGTCTAGTAGGGCTTCTTGGAGTAAATAGATTTACATGCAAAAAAATAAAGCATTGCTGGGTATTCCTCTCTGGCAAACGTTGCCTGAAACTTAGGCAGAATCCAGGCACTGTAGGGCAGACGGGCCAGTGCTCAAGGTTTAAAGAAATAGGCAGGATTAAGTTACAATACAACCGAAATGGTTTTAAACTCTTATTATCTCTTGAATGGATTTGCCCATCCATTAAACCAGGACAGTTAGGGTTGGTTATTGGCTTAGTTAGTGTGAATCCAACCATTATGTTTTGTCCCATAATCCAATGGCTAAATCAAGCAGTATCTTAGGGAACCAAATCAATGCTTGAACTGTCTATCAGACCCTTGTTTGCAATTGCATAAGCAGTTCCTTATAAGCTTTGCTCTAAAACATGGATGTCTTAATCAGTGGTGGGATTCAATTTTATTTTTTTTAAACTACCGGTTTTGTGGGCATGGCAGGGGAAGGATACTGTAAAATCTCCAGTCAGAGGTGGTATTTGCAGGTTCTCCGAACTACTCAAAATTTCCACAACCGGTTCTCCAGAACTGGTCGGAACCTGCTGAATACCACCATTGGTCTTAACATTTTGGCTTGCCTGGACTACACTGAGTGAAGGGGAAGTGTCTCGGGACACATATAAAATATATGTGATAGTTTTTACAATATAAAATCACGTTAAAAATTTACAATCTTGTGGACGTGCCTGGTCTAAAACAAAACATAAGAGTTCTTAAAAACTCTTAAAAAGGAGAGGAGGGAAGTAACTCCCCCCCCCCCAATGCAAAGCCATCTCCAGCCCTGCCTAGGAGTTCTTTGCAAAATAAAGGATAGGATAGGAAATAGACTCTTTGCTCTACCCCAGCTCAGGGAGCGTCTGCTTTCTGCTCCCCCGCCTTTCCCTAATGCAAAGACAGCCCCACGCAGCCCAAGAGCATCGCACAAAGGGGTATGTTGGTAACACTCCAGCTCTTTTAAACTGTTTTTTGTCACTTTTTCACAATGCAAATCCAGCTCCATGTAGCCCAGCAGTGACATACCTCATAAACAGATTGGGGGGGGGGGAAACAATGCTAAAGGTCAGCTGGGGTGGTGGAGCACAGGTAGCAGGGGCCAAACGGACAGATGGGAGATAGGCCAATGGGAAGAATTGCAGCACGGGTGGGCTGCAAGAGCCAGAATTTTGATCACATGACTGTGGGGGGGGGGCGCTACAGTGGTTGTAGCTTTGAGCATGGGTCGAAAGTCTCTTTGTTCATTACCACTGTAAATTTGAACAGTTGCTGAACGAATGTTGTAAGGCAGTGATCCCCAACCTTTTTGACGCCGCGGCCCGGTACCGGCATCAGCTGGGCACCGCGGCCC